GGGGGCAAGTACTATATCTGATGGGATAAAGGAGTATCGTGTTTAGTTGTCGTAATGGAATTGGTCGGTTGTCAGAATTTTTCCCCTTGCCCCCCTCTGGGTATAACCCAGGTAATTTTCTATGTTGGTGGCAAAACCAACGATTTGGGTATTCTTCCCACCCCACCCCCCCTAAGATTTATAAATGTTACAGATTTGACTCCACGATGGGTATTAATGTTGTATTACGGTGTATAATGAGGTAAAATTAATAAAGGAGATCACTATAGTATAACGGATTGTAATACAAATTACATCTATTGGCCTTGATCTTAGTTCAGGTTGATGGGACAAATAAAATAGATATTTTCTGTAAAAAAGATGCAAAAGAAAAACTAATTCTTTTATAAAAAAAACTCACAAATAATATGACTATACTCACTTGACTAGGAGTTGGTTGTCCTTGAATCTTCTATAGGGTCGGTCCTGTGCGGGGTCAGCTTCCAACCTTTTTCCACGTGGAAAAGTATGGAGGCCCATGGTCCTCACTCCTTAAGTAGGTTTCTGGCCCGATCTAATCTTGCTCAGAGTGTAAACTTGCTACCCTGTTGGTACCAAATATAATTTCAACACTGAGCTATTTATGTCATCTTCGAGATTTGATCAAGATAAATGTTTTGGAGACACCATATTATGTACAATAAGGACTTTGTTAGGGCCAAAATATTTTAATTCCTCGGTTTGATCAGGAAAGAAGCCATAATAGGTCTAATGCTGTATTATAAGACAAACTGGGCAAGGGGCATGTACATCCAAATTTCTTTGGGGTTTTAATAAAACTAAAAACTATTCATGTACATGATTGTAATTTAATATATTCAATGAAATTAAGGCACTAGAATAGTCAAATATGATTTATAGATTCAGTAATTATTAATTTGTACAAAACATATGGTTAGAGGGGATTAGTGATCTGTATTTAAATGAAATACACATTAAAAACGTTTCGTATTGCCCTCTACAGTATGTTAATGTAACAAATTTTGTTCGGTGGAAAACAACAAAAGACTATGAAACATATTGCCAACAGAATGCAGGGTTCATGCCAGTCATTTTCAAAGAGAATGTTCTGAAAATATGAATAATAATTAGCTATTTTCAATGGAATAAAATCATAATATTAACAAAATGTGGGATTATTTACAATATTTACAAAGTCCTCTTATGATAAGAGTCAGCAAGACTGGACTCACAAATCACCTTTAAATGTATATAAAACTTGCATTGTGTTTGTGTACAATATAATAATAAAATATGTACAGAGCAAATTGTTTAGTATTTATTCCTAGTCGATCAAATACATTATGTTCACATATAGATTCAAAACATACTTTTAAACTTTGCTTATCGATTATATCGATATTCGCAAATCGCCATTTTAACCAATGAGCTATCATGTAACAAATGAATACAAGATAGTTATTCATATTGGTTACCATTTAAAATCAATTTGGTCCTATATTTTCAATGAATCTGATTGGTCTAAAACTAATAACAATGTACAGTGTCAAATCTTCGTGCTTTTGATTTATCAGAAAGGATTGCTTCTAAAATTTCACATTTGTCACTGGCCAAATTAAAATCTAATATAAACTTAACAAAGGTAACAATAACAAGTTAGAAAAATCTCCTAGAGATGTACGTAGCAAAACAATTTAAGAGAATCCACGTGCGGGTTCTTCCCAACAAAAAGTCTTAAAAACTCTACAACATTTGTCTTTTAGCCTAATAAATATACTTTATATACACATATATTTCTCTCTTTCACTGTATCTTTCTACAACTTTTGGATCTTTAGCACTCTATTATCATTCAGATGCGACAAAATCTAAGGTCCTGCGTGTCACCAGCTGGATTGTAGCGATCACACGACAATTGAAATGCATTAATCAACAGTCTAATGCCGCTGTCCTGGCACACTGCATGGCGTTATCTGTCTCATTTCAATCAGGAGAAAACACAGTCGAACGTGTAACTCTGACATAGTTCCTTCATTTCTAGCACTTTTAAATATAGGATTTACATTATTGCATAGTTTGTTCACTTTTCCTCAACCTTCTACTGTTTCCTTTTGATCATTCATTCTTTATTTTTCGCTTTTCAAATTTCTGCATTCCCAAATTGTTATCCAAATTCTTGATGGCTTTTCTCTTTTGATCCATGGCACGTCCTTTTTTGATACTGCTATTAACATCAACTTCTATTCTCAAAATTCACCAACTTTTCACTGGTTTTCAATTGCTAAGTTAAAAACTAGCAATCCTGTTCAAAACAAGCCAACATCATACCATTAGTATCTGCCATTCAACAACAGTCACTCTCTAACCAAAGATATTTGAAAAACTTTCAACAATTTCCACAGCGTCTTTCAATCATTTCATTCAAACTTTCCATTAATCTTAAACAACTTCTGATAGTCGAAACTAACTTATCTTGGACGACTAAGTTTTATCATAAACAACTTCTGATAGTCTTGAACGAATTGACGCGTCTTAAACAATTCCAAAACAATTTCACTTGGCCTGAAGTTCACATAGTCTCAAAACTATTACTGGTTCTAGGCCTTCACTGTTTTCAGTCTATGCACAACTGGCCAGTACAAACAAAAAGTTTTTCACTTTACATGTTTAGTCACTTCAATAACTTGAGCTTGTATCGTCCATAAAAGGACTAACTGGGTTGGATGTTAACATGGGATCTCCGCTCACTGGAGACGAATCCTCCATCAAATTATCAAAAGTCGTTAACTGTAAACTCTGAACACATTGAAATGGCTGTTCATTGGGTTCCTGTTTGATTAGATCAGTTGTGTTCGGGGAAACCATGGTTGTCAAGGCTGCAGAATCTTCGCTCAATCCGGTGTTCATTCCGTGGGATTTCATTACTAAATTCAGTTGCTGGAAAAAACAAAATGGTGGATTAAAAAACAAATGGCGAAAACGAAATACAACCATCTTTACAATGTCAAGGTATTAAGAATTCCATCTAAAGAGACATGTTATATCGTTTACAATCCGTCGTTTGATTTCATCCAAATAAATCGGTGCATTTACAACCTTTGGTCATACGAAAAAAAGTGGCTAATGGTTTCAAACTATAAAACAAAGTTCATAATAGCTTGATATTGTGAAAATGATTTGTGTCATTCTAAATATTTGTATTACATCTGTGGTTCCTGCTGGAACTCTGGAATCCTTGACGTCAATATCGCAATTCAAATTCTTTTTGAGTGAATACAGGCTAATAAGTCATAATAATAAATAAACCAAATTACTAATGATCTAAACAGCAAAAGGAAACCAAAATCCAGAGCATTGGTAGTAGCTAATGAACTTTTCACATGAGCAAGTATATCAATTATAAGTGAATAAGTATTCTATAATGAAAAGTGGTATCAGGTGTCTAGAAGAAGTCTATAATTACCTGCATTCTGAGTAATAATTTTCTATTTTGAGCCTCGAGTTGTCTGTTTTTCTCCTCAGCATGTCTCATCTTATCTTGGTCTCGTTTTAATCTTCGTATATAATCTACTGACGCTTTTAATATCGTTCCTTTATTCTGTCGCATGTCACTAAAAAATATAACAGGATTTAATTAAAACAACTGTTAACAATCAGATTTATTACTGGCTTTCCTACTGTACAACTTTTACTTTAGATTTTTCTATATGTGACATGAGATTTTGATTAATGGAATAGTCTTGCTTGTACAGATTAATTTTATCACTGTTTGGAGTAACAGTGATATGCAGTAATCGTCTGTAATATAGATTTAGCTGAGTAACACCTGAAGAAGAGTCAGATTGTCGTCAGCAGGCTGATTTCATGATTCAGGGAAAGAAATGTTTCTATAACCCTGACAAACTTTTGAAAAACTTCATTCTGTCTCTCTCTATTGAAAGGGAAAACATGAAGACAACTTTTCAAAATAATTAGTGTACAAATGAAATTGGATGCAAATTAAGGCCTTATACTAGTAAAATAGTCCTTGCTTCGGACCTAGGCCTGTGCTTTCGATGAGTTAAATTCTCAATTCACCTTAACACTAGTTATTTAACCAAGAACAGTTTTCATTTTGGTGTGAACGGACTAATTTTTCACTATTCAGAAAAAAAAGTAGGACAGAATGTCTAAAACCTCCCACTTATAAAATAATACCAGTATTAAAACTAATATCAAGATAATATAGATAAGATAAAAATAGATCAAAGTTTATAAAAATTAGGTTTGATTTAACCACAAGTGAGAGTGTCTCCAATCTTATCAACCTTCTGATCTTCATCATTAATAATATAACATTGTTTTCTTTGTTTTGTTATGAAATTTCCAACCAAGCCATAACTAAAACAATATGTGTCTGAAACAGGCTTTTTATTCCCCTTTTCTTGGGCAGTTTACTTTAGTTTTCTATTTGAAGTAATTAACCAACAAACGTCTGACAAACTTTGTTTGCATTCGGATATTTATTTTTTAACCAGATGTCGGCCAGCAACTGCCAAGCAAAACTTTAAAACTGTTAAATTTACAATCACAGTCAGTCTTCAGCTCAGTCAATTGGTTATCACAGCAGTTATACCTATCTGAAAAAAGCCTTGATTATCTATTTTTGACAAATGTCATCCAGCAATGTTGTAAATAACAATGTATACTTACGGATCTGTAGATTTCGGTAAAAGTGTTCCCAGTTCTTTAATTCTATCATTTATATTGAACCTTCTTCGTCTTTCAACTAGCGTGAAACAAAATGAACGAAATTAAATGGAGTTTTACTTCTTATGTTTTGCATTTGCACTCAACATGGCTAAAGGAATTGAGTCTTACAGACAATGGTTTTGTACCTATTTGAGCTTATGAAATATAATAGAGTTTTATATCCTACTGTTCTATACCTTATTGAGCTTATGAAATGAAATGGAGTTTTATTTCATAATTGTCTTTACCTTATTGGGCTGATGAAATTGAGTTTTGTGCAGTGGTGGTGATCAAACTGACTTTTTGACACCTTTTGGTGTTCAGTTCCAAAATGCAGAGGGATGTGGACCCCCCCTGGTTTTATGCCCCTTCTCTGAAAAATCTTAAGGTATTCAGCCACTCACTCATATTATGTGTATCTTTTTTATGTCTGTCTTTAGCCCAGAGTTTGGCGTCTTCCTCCGAGGTGAATAATGGAATCTCTACTGGTTCTATTTCTGCAGGACAAGATGACGAGGATTTCACACCAACTGTTTCATGGGTAAAGTTTGACGCATATGGCAACTGCAAAAAAAAAAACATTTTTCGTTTAAACTTTTGAGCCGTGTCCGAAAACTTTCTTAAATATGAGCTTAACAACAGTTCTTTTCTTTCTGTTAGGTAAAGTTAGAAGAATATGGCAACTGAAAAAAAATTTAAAGCTTGTCAGCTTTAAGCTCTTGGAATTTGTTTATTCAATTTCAGCTCTTGTACAATAAATGAAAAGTAAAGTTAGAAGAAAAAGACAATTGAAGAAAAAAAAAGTTAGATAAGAAGTTTGAGTCAACACTTGGAGGTAAAAATATGTCAACACTGTCTTTGTTTAGACTTAAAATATTAATATCACAGGTTTCAGTCCAAAAAAGTCATCACTTTCTCTGATTAATAACTGTAAAACCTTCTAATTTGAATTAAATGAATTTATCATACCCAAAATAATACATAAATATGAATTTTTGAGGTCAAAAAAAGGGTGACAAAATCTTGTAAAATATGCTATTTTTAATGTTGAATGACATAAATTAATCATTTTAAAACTAGGTCAACCCTCAACTCTAAAATGACAATTTAAAAAAGGTAATTTTATCTGAGAGATATGTGAGTCACGACAAGTCCACAATAAAATATCTTGATAAAAAGTTACTTAAAAAAATCATAATTTCCTTCTTTCTAAGAAAATCTGATAATAAAATTAAATTTAGGTCAAACACAGGGAAATAAAAACTCATATTTAACTTCTGTTTTGAGCGTTAAATCTTCCCTGTATGTCTGTGGGAGTTGGGCTGAACTATAGTTCTCTCCAATTAATGTTCTTGGGCAAATATTTTGGAAAACTTAGGGAAATTGAAACTAATATTTAACCTATGTAAGCTAAAGAGTTTAATTTTTCCTGTATGTCATTTATTAGTTACGCTCTAATTCAAATTTTTGGGCAGCTCATTTATAGGTCATGATATTTTTCTCGGTGCAAATATTCTCTACCTCCACAAAGCCAACACCCTACCCATAACCAATTTTAAGCATTTATACCTTTGGTAAGTAAAAATATTTTTCCTGCAGTTTGAATTTGATTTAAAAATCAATAATATTGATAAGTAAGATCCGAATATAAACCCCCTCCCTTCGTATTTCAGACCTTGTTACCATGGATCTTAGTCGATAAATGTCATTGTATCCTAGACCTTCAACTGACTGACTTTAAACTGTATCAGATATATTGATCAGTAAGATATATAAATAGATCACAATAATATTAATATTATTTACAATATGTAGATCTGAATATTAAAATATTAGTGTAACAGCTGGGCCATATCAGTTATATACCACATACTGATTTCACCACCACTAACAGTTGATACACTTTATCTTAATTTAAACCATGTTAATTGGCTATCCTCTTCTTTGTCAATGACAACTCAACAAGTGCTGATATTACATTAAGACCCCTAAAAACACCCCACCTCCCTCCTCGGACAACGTACAACCCAGCTTCCATACCCCCTTTTCTTTAAGAAATACACTATACTTCAAGAATCAAGATGTCCAAGCCAATCCTTTATAAATACTGACTAGAGCAGAAAAAGAAACCTAATCCCCCTTCCCCTGCCCAAAAAAAATACACCACTTACTGTAGAGGACATAGCAGGACCCAGAGAAGGTTCTATAAAATGGAGATCGCTGTCCACACTTCCACCTCCTGTTACAGTTTCTTCAAAACCTAAAATACCATTCAACAGCCTGTCCATCTGAAATTGATCAAAAAATTCACATAAAATGGAATTCTTCATCCTACTAGAGCCCTGGTTCCCAACAGGGGGTGTTTTCACTAGGGTGTCAGGGGTGTGGCCAACTGGTGAATTTATTTTGAGTTGAGAGAGCACCTCATATCATCATATGCTGCAAATGTGGATGAAACAAATTTTTGGGGTGTGAAAGGTCCAGGTGATTGCTTCAGAGGTGTGAAGGCTGAAATAGGTTGTGAACCACTGTACTAGAGCAACAACCCATTGGGTTAATGAAAACAGACGATGCCATGCAGTGTGGAATAAGGGAAATTTTGTCAGTACAGCAGCATAAATATTTTCTTTACAGATATCCAACTGTTGAGGAATCTTTAAGTGCACAGCCTGCACATTAGTTAATTGTCCTTACCAAATGATTAGCTTTGAAACAAGTAAAAACTCAATGTTATCCAAGTCAATAATTGTAAAATCAAGGGCAATAACTGATGAATTACTTACATCAGAAGCATCACCTTCTACAGGAGCGCTACCAGTCATGGTGGGAGACAGTAGATCCAGGGTCTGTTCATCGTGAATTGTGGGTAGGGATTGTGTTATGGTAGTTCGTCCCTGGGATTTACTCAGGAAATGTTGAACTTGTCGTTTCTGACTTTGTTCAACGTAATATCGTGTTGGGTGTTGTAACAATGTCTTCACCTGTAGAGAAAAAAAAAGGCAGATAAGGAAAAGATGTCATTGTATAATTTTCAACATTCATCAACAACATTTTTTAGATCAAAATAAGACAGATATCAAAAGATGTCATTGCAACATTTTTTTGGAAATTTACGACAACCTTTCAAAATTGTTACAAATATTGTAACAGTTTAGACCATTATCTTGAAATTTACGATGATTTTTCCCAACTGATGGCTGGTTTACTTATGTGCCAACATTTCAAAATATCTACAAAAACCATGAGATAAAAAAAACAAAGGAATTTACTTGAACTGGGACTGGTTCAGAAATGAATTTAAAATTTTCAAATCTGAAAAGAACTCACTGATCAGGAGACAAAGTCATGAACATTCTAACCTGAAAGACTTTATGTGGAATCTCTGCGGAAGCTGGAATCTGTGGAACTTGGATTCCTTCTGATTGTTGAAGTTGAGGGCTAGTTCTCATCAACAGCTGCTTCTCTTCGTTCAGAAATTGTTGACGTTCCAATTCTTGTCGAAGGTTGGTCCGGGACGGCATACTAGCATGTTTTATTTCTGTTATTGGACTGAAAATACACAAAATATAAATTCAAATAGTTTGGAAATGAATTGTCGAGTTTTATGACCTACTTTTCTGCACTTGATTGGCTCAATGAAGACGGAAAAAGCTATGCAGTGTGCAATGAGAGAAATTTTGCAAGATTATTATAAGTTTTTACAACTTCACCATTTTATATGTTATATGTATGCACCTTACTGAATTGATATTTAGAAGCAATACCATGCCTTGTGCAATGAGGGAAATATTTGCCGTAAAAGTAGGCTAGCCCAAATATTTTATTCTACTGTTTCTAAAGTACGGTATTTTTTGGTAGAATTGCTTATGAAAGAACTAATTCTGTAAATTATGTAAAAGATGCTGTAAAAATATAAAATTATCTTTTTATTTTTATCTGCAATTTTTTTAATCAATTTTTTCTTTGTCCACGATTTCCTTGACAAAGAAATCAAATTGACCTAAATAATTAAAATAGAACTGGGATTTTACATCCTGGTAGACGGTGAAGTCAAAATGACCTCAGAAAATATTCAACTTATACAATAAATCGAGAATTCATTAAAAGGAAGCTACAAGTTGATACAAGTAGCGCCAAGTTGACGATAATCACCGCTCTCCAATTCAATTATTCAATACGGCTGACACAAGTCTCTTAAATGGGATTGAAATGAGGTTTTTAAATTTTTTATTGTCTATCGGGGACACTGATATCAATTTTAACTATCTAGTTTTGACTGTGATTCCTGCAATTGTTTTATAGTTGAATTACAGGAACCACAGTAATCTGATTGAAATTGGAAAGGTGCAAATTGATACTATCAGTGTCCCTGATACTTCATAACAATCCCTTTAAATTCAGTTATTCAATATGGCACAAGATTCTTAAAATATCAATATTGACAATGAGGCTTATATGAGTATTGATGTATTGGTTTTTATGGAATTTCATGGAAACCTGACGAACAATCGTATTCTGAAAAGTAATACAAATATTGAAATTGACCTCCAACGGCTGGTGAAGGAAATATTAAAACAAATATGTCCCTTTTTTTTTCAAGTTACAATTTAACTATAAGGAAATACAAATTAGTTTTAAAATGACAAGCCACACCTATGTCCTTCAAACTGCAGACATGTGTTTCAGATATACAGACCTCATCAGGACAGCTAGTTTGAGAAATAGAAGTTAGGATTTTGAGTTCATCTTATGCTACAGACACATGTTTCAGGTATACAATCCTGATCAGGTCATCTAGTTCAATGCTTTAATAAGGCCTACCAAATATAAAACCTAAAGTGTTGGAAGATAATCAGAACACTTCAAATGAACACAATGGGAATATTTTATAGGCTAATCAATTCATTCTATATGTTTTTGGCTTGGTGCCTGCTTTGTTCCATATTATTGTAAACAGTAAACAGTAAGAATATACTATATAGTAAGCTGGATATAAGCCTAAAGTAGTAGTTTTACGTCATACTTTTTGACTCCTTGCAGTGTACAATGAGTGTATGTTGTTGTGACAGTACCCTTAGCCCTTTCTATTCATCTTGATTGTCAACTGTCTTCATAGAAATAATTAAATTATATAACTGTCAAACAAGTTTTGGAACACAAACTCCAAATATTTGACTTATCTTCAGAACATTTTGTTTACAGCCTAATATAAACTGATGATGATCATGTAAATTGTAGACACATTGTGTACAATAATACTCAGGAGTATATACCATATAAACTGTTGATACTAATGTAAATTGTAGAAACTTTGTATAACAGAAAACAGAAGAAATATACCATACAAATGGATGATGTCAATGTAAATTGTAGAAACTTTGTATAACAGAAAACAGAAGTAATATACCATACAAACTGATGATGACAATGTAAATTGTAGAAACTTTGGATACAATAGAACCCATAACTGGTAT